TCCCCCACCGCCCCCCCCCCCAGCCCCTGCCAGCCCAGTTCTGCCCCTCACCCCTGCCAGGCCCTGGGCTCTCCCCAGCTTGGCCAGTGCCCCTCTCTCCCAACCCACAGAACCTAGTTAACTTTGACAGAGTGCTACTGGAGGAGGGCGGGTGAGGCTGAACGAGAGAAGGAGGAAAAGAAAACAGGAAGGAGGTGACGGAATCACAGGCAGGGAGGCAAAAGGAAAAATCATCAAGGGAAAGGAAGAGAGAGAGAGAGGCTGTGATTTTTCCAGACTGCCCTGCTACTCTGTGCTTGCAGCCTTTCACACACACACCCCTCAGCCAGGGCATCCCATCAGGAATGAGAGGAATCTTCTCTCTAAACATCCGGCCTGAAACCTTGGAGGCCTGGCTCTAACCACTAGGCCCCACTCCCTTCCCAGAGCCAGGGAGAGAACCCAGCAGTCCTGTGGCTGAGAAGACAGACAATCAGCAACCGGACTATGTGGACTGGCGACACCTGCTGTCCTGTGTGAGGAATGCTCCGAGATTGGCTGGAAGGGACAGGGAATGGGGTGCGGGGCCTGTCTCCCTCTAGGGGGCGCCAGCTCCCACCCGGCCCCAGGGCAGAGACAGGCAGGCACCATGGGGCAGGGAATTAGTTCCCATAATAGAAGAACTAGAGGACACCATATGAAATTAATGGGTAGCAGGTTTAAAACTAATAAAAGAAAGTTCTTCTACACACAGTACATAGTCAACCTGTGGAACTCCTTGCCAGAGGAGGCTGTGAAGGCTAGGACTAGAACAGAGTTTAAAGAGAAGCTAGATAATTTCATGGAGGTTAGGTCCATAAAAGGCTTTTAACCAGGGGATAGAAATGGTGTCCCTGGCCTCTGTTTGTCAGAGGCTGGAGAGGGATGGCACGAGACAAATTGCTTGATCATTGTCTTCAGTCCACCCCCTCTGGGGCACCTGGCGCTGGCCACTGTCGGCAGACAGGATACTGGGCTAGATGAACCTTTGGTCTGACTCAGTATGGCCGTTCTTAAGTTCTTATGTTATGTTCTTATAGAATGGGGCTGTTCCCACGTAAGCACAATTTCAGACCACACATGAGTCTCACATCTGCAGCATGTTTTAATTCACACAAAATAAACACGACCCTGATTTACCAGCCCGTATAAATATTGCACTTCTGAAAGGCCCCAAATGGTCCACAGTTCCCAGTATTTCTCAATTTCCCCTCCTAACCGCCAGCAAGGAACAGCCGCGAAGGGTGCATAGCGGTGTGGAACCGGGCCTGCCGACCGCATCACAGCACCCAGCAACTCTGCAAATCAACAGGTCTGCCTCTTCCCCGTCTGTCTCGCTCGAAAACAGCTGAACCGATTCGCCCCAAACTTCCGTCCCCAACCCAGCCTGCTGCAGAGATGCAGCCTGGGAAATTTCAGCCCCGAGCGTTACGGTTTGGCCCAGTTATAAGCTGCCCCCCAAAAACCAGGGGTTGGAATGGAAACTATTAAGCACCCTTAGGGCCGGACTGACTGACACAGGGCAGCCCCCTCTGGTGGCCACAGGGGGGACTACATGCCAGGAGGTTCTTCCATTCCCTGTCTAGGCCCAGGTCTGCACCAATCCGAACAGGAGGTGGGGGGTGGATTGGTCCATGGGTGGGGGTCATACCATTTCAGGGAGAGGGCATGGTGGAGAATGAGGTTGTACCATTCAGGGGCAGTGGGGAGTTTCCAAGGCTGGGGAGTCATACCACTTTGGTGGAAATGGGGGGAGGATTGTAGAGCATGGGGGATATACCATGTGAGAGGAAAAGGCTATACTGTGGGGTGGGGAACTGTGCCGCATGTGGGGGGGGCATACCACTTTGGTGGAAATGGGGGGAGTTGGAGGATAGGAGACCACTGAGAGGGGAGTGGAGGGGGAAGTGAGGAGAAGGAAGGTTGTACCATTTGAGGGGAGGAAAGGGCCGGTACATTTTAAACTTTGCCCCCCTTCCTTAAATAAATAGTGGAAGTAAAAAACAACAACAACAAAAAGCCGAGAGGTAGGAAACCGAAGTGAGCACGTGCGCACTGTGCCTTTAAGAGGCGTGGCAACCTAAATGAGAGGGGAGTGGAGGGGGAAGTGAGGAGAAGGAAGGTTGTACCATTTGAGGGGAGGAAAGGGCCGGTACATTTTAAACTTTGCCCCCCTTCCTTAAATAAATAGTGGAAGTAAAAAACAACAACAACAAAAAGCCGAGAGGTAGGAAACCGAAGTGAGCACGTGCGCACTGTGCCTTTAAGAGGCGTGGCAACCTAAATGGAGCGGGAGGTAGCCAGAGGCCAGTGACAAATCGATGCCTGTGTGCAGGTCCTTAGCGTGTGGGGAGATACCATTGGAGACAGTGGGGGGTGGGGATCCGGGAGGCCAGCCCCCCACGTGGCACCTTCCCCCAGCAGCCGGGGGCCACCGGGTCCTTGGCTTTCTCACGAGGGAGGCACGTCTGTTGTGCCCTCCAATTTCCTCTTCTGCTTTTCCATCACGGCTTCCAGTTCGGAGATTTTCTTCACGTCCTGGAAGGGCAAAGACGGTGTCAGCCATGGGCCTAGAAACCCACAGCTGAGCTGGGAGAGAACCCAGGAGTCCTGGTCCCCGCCTCCCCTTCTCTCACCACTAGACCCTACTGCCCTCCCAGCACCAGGGAGAAAACCCAGGCACCTTAAGGGGGAGGCGGGTAGGTTGGGGGGAAATCATAGTACCTCCAGCATGGCTTTGTGCACCGTGACCTGGCTGTAGACTCTGGTTCCTTCCTCGGGGCTGATGGCCTGGAATTCAGCCTTGCCAAGCGAGAAAAGCTGAGACCCGTTCAGCACCCCCAGAGCGCTCACCGTCCTGAGGGGAGGAGGAAGAAGGGGTAGTCAGGCCCAGAGCCCCACAGGGACCTCCTCTGCTGCTCCCTCCCAGTGCTGTGAGCTTCCCCATGGCAGTGCCCCCCTCCCCAGCCACGATGCGGTGGATGCTGAAGCAAGAATGGCTACAAACAGCAATGCACAACGTCCGTCAACTGATGGATTAATGCCTTCCTGTCCCTTTTTTCCGATTGGTCCAATGAGTCATTAGCATCTTTTTTGCTGTTTCCCCAGCTGCCCAATGAAATGCAATGATGAAGGATTCCACAGGAAGGCCCCATCCAGCTGGCCAATGGCGGTTCTGAGCCACCACCAATCAGGCAGCAGCAAGAGACCAAGTAGGCGCCTCAGGCAGGGAAGAGCCAGCCAATCAGAAGAAAGAGGAAAGTTGATTCAAATAATAGTGTGTGTGTGTGGGGGGGGAAATGTTGTGACTTCTTCCAGCCAATCAGAAGCCACAAGGCTCCAAAACAACCAATCAGCGCAGAGAGAAAGGCCATGTGAGGCAGTCAAGAATGTCACAGGTCCCCCTCCCCAACCAACCGATCAGAAGCCAGGAGATGGTGATCCGGCCAATGAGAGCAGAGCTAGACTGGAAGAGAAAGGCAGGATGCCCCCACCAATCAGAAGCCAGGAGGGGCCCAGCCAGCCAATGGGGAAGCACAGACATAGCAAAGCAACCAATCAGAGCATGCCCAATGCCCACTCACCCACACATAGGGGGCAGGGCTTGGAGACTCACCCCCATCCTACCCACACATAGGGGGCAGGGCTTGGAGACTCACCCCCATCCTACCCACACATAGGGGGCAGGGCTTGGAGACTCACCCCCATCCTACCCACACATAGGGGGCAGGGCTTGGAGACTCACCCCCATCCTACCCACACATAGGGGGCAGGGCTTGGAGACTCACCCCCATCCTACCCACACATAGGGGGCAGGGCTTGGAGACTCACCCCCATCCTACCCACACATAGGGGGCAGGGCTTGGAGACTCACCCCCATCCTACCCACACATAGGGGGCAGGGCTTGGAGACTCACCCCCATCCTACCCACACATAGGGGGCAGGGCTTGGAGACTCACCCCCATCCTACCCACACATAGGGGGCAGGGCTTGGAGACTCACCCCCATCCTACCCACACATAGGGGGCAGGGCTTGGAGACTCACCCCCATCCTACCCACACATAGGGGGCAGGGCTTGGAGACTCACCCCCATCCTACCCACACATAGGGGGCAGGGCTTGGAGACTCACCCCCATCCTACCCACACATAGGGGGCAGGGCTTGGAGACTCACCCCCATCCTACCCACACATAGGGGGCAGGGCTTGGAGACTCACCCCCATCCTACCCACACATAGGGGGCAGGGCTTGGAGACTCACCCCCATCCTACCCACACATAGGGGGCAGGGCTTGGAGACTCACCCCCATCCTACCCACACATAGGGGGCAGGGCTTGGAGACTCACCCCCATCCTACCCACACATAGGGGGCAGGGCTTGGAGACTCACCCCCATCCTACCCACACATAGGGGGCAGGGCTTGGAGACTCACCCCCATCCTACCCACACATAGGGGGCAGGGCTTGGAGACTCACCCCCATCCTACCCACACATAGGGGGCAGGGCTTGGAGACTCACCCCCATCCTACCCACACATAGGGGGCAGGGCTTGGAGACTCACCCCCATCCTACCCACACATAGGGGGCAGGGCTTGGAGACTCACCCCCATCCTACCCACACATAGGGGGCAGGGCTTGGAGACTCACCCCCATCCTACCCACACATAGGGGGCAGGGCTTGGAGACTCACCCCCATCCTACCCACACATAGGGGGCAGGGCTTGGAGACTCACCCCCATCCTACCCACACATAGGGGGCAGGGCTTGGAGACTCACCCCCATCCTACCCACACATAGGGGGCAGGGCTTGGAGACTCACCCCCATCCTACCCACACATAGGGGGCAGGGCTTGGAGACTCACCCCCATCCTACCCACACATAGGGGGCAGGGCTTGGAGACTCACCCCCATCCTACCCACACATAGGGGGCAGGGCTTGGAGACTCACCCCCATCCTACCCACACATAGGGGGCAGGGCTTGGAGACTCACCCCCATCCTACCCACACATAGGGGGCAGGGCTTGGAGACTCACCCCCATCCTACCCACACATAGGGGGCAGGGCTTGGAGACTCACCCCCATCCTACCCACACATAGGGGGCAGGGCTTGGAGACTCACCCCCATCCTACCCACACATAGGGGGCAGGGCTTGGAGACTCACCCCCATCCTACCCACACATAGGGGGCAGGGCTTGGAGACTCACCCCCATCCTACCCACACATAGGGGGCAGGGCTTGGAGACTCACCCCCATCCTACCCACACATAGGGGGCAGGGCTTGGAGACTCACCCCCATCCTACCCACACATAGGGGGCAGGGCTTGGAGACTCACCCCCATCCTACCCACACATAGGGGGCAGGGCTTGGAGACTCACCCCCATCCTACCCACACATAGGGGGCAGGGCTTGGAGACTCACCCCCATCCTACCCACACATAGGGGGCAGGGCTTGGAGACTCACCCCCATCCTACCCACACATAGGGGGCAGGGCTTGGAGACTCACCCCCATCCTACCCACACATAGGGGGCAGGGCTTGGAGACTCACCCCCATCCTACCCACACATAGGGGGCAGGGCTTGGAGACTCACCCCCATCCTACCCACACATAGGGGGCAGGGCTTGGAGACTCACCCCCATCCTACCCACACATAGGGGGCAGGGCTTGGAGACTCACCCCCATCCTACCCACACATAGGGGGCAGGGCTTGGAGACTCACCCCCATCCTACCCACACATAGGGGGCAGGGCTTGGAGACTCACCCCCATCCTACCCACACATAGGGGGCAGGGCTTGGAGACTCACCCCCATCCTACCCACACATAGGGGGCAGGGCTTGGAGACTCACCCCCATCCTACCCACACATAGGGGGCAGGGCTTGGAGACTCACCCCCATCCTACCCACACATAGGGGGCAGGGCTTGGAGACTCACCCCCATCCTACCCACACATAGGGGGCAGGGCTTGGAGACTCACCCCCATCCTACCCACACATAGGGGGCAGGGCTTGGAGACTCACCCCCATCCTACCCACACATAGGGGGCAGGGCTTGGAGACTCACCCCCATCCTACCCACACATAGGGGGCAGGGCTTGGAGACTCACCCCCATCCTACCCACACATAGGGGGCAGGGCTTGGAGACTCACCCCCATCCTACCCACACATAGGGGGCAGGGCTTGGAGACTCACCCCCATCCTACCCACACATAGGGGGCAGGGCTTGGAGACTCACCCCCATCCTACCCACACATAGGGGGCAGGGCTTGGAGACTCACCCCCATCCTACCCACACATAGGGGGCAGGGCTTGGAGACTCACCCCCATCCTACCCACACATAGGGGGCAGGGCTTGGAGACTCACCCCCATCCTACCCACACATAGGGGGCAGGGCTTGGAGACTCACCCCCATCCTACCCACACATAGGGGGCAGGGCTTGGAGACTCACCCCCATCCTACCCACACATAGGGGGCAGGGCTTGGAGACTCACCCCCATCCTACCCACACATAGGGGGCAGGGCTTGGAGACTCACCCCCATCCTACCCACACATAGGGGGCAGGGCTTGGAGACTCACCCCCATCCTACCCACACATAGGGGGCAGGGCTTGGAGACTCACCCCCATCCTACCCACACATAGGGGGCAGGGCTTGGAGACTCACCCCCATCCTACCCACACATAGGGGGCAGGGCTTGGAGACTCACCCCCATCCTACCCACACATAGGGGGCAGGGCTTGGAGACTCACCCCCATCCTACCCACACATAGGGGGCAGGGCTTGGAGACTCACCCCCATCCTACCCACACATAGGGGGCAGGGCTTGGAGACTCACCCCCATCCTACCCACACATAGGGGGCAGGGCTTGGAGACTCACCCCCATCCTACCCACACATAGGGGGCAGGGCTTGGAGACTCACCCCCATCCTACCCACACATAGGGGGCAGGGCTTGGAGACTCACCCCCATCCTACCCACACATAGGGGGCAGGGCTTGGAGACTCACCCCCATCCTACCCACACATAGGGGGCAGGGCTTGGAGACTCACCCCCATCCTACCCACACATAGGGGGCAGGGCTTGGAGACTCACCCCCATCCTACCCACACATAGGGGGCAGGGCTTGGAGACTCACCCCCATCCTACCCACACATAGGGGGCAGGGCTTGGAGACTCACCCCCATCCTACCCACACATAGGGGGCAGGGCTTGGAGACTCACCCCCATCCTACCCACACATAGGGGGCAGGGCTTGGAGACTCACCCCCATCCTACCCACACATAGGGGGCAGGGCTTGGAGACTCACCCCCATCCTACCCACACATAGGGGGCAGGGCTTGGAGACTCACCCCCATCCTACCCACACATAGGGGGCAGGGCTTGGAGACTCACCCCCATCCTACCCACACATAGGGGGCAGGGCTTGGAGACTCACCCCCATCCTACCCACACATAGGGGGCAGGGCTTGGAGACTCACCCCCATCCTACCCACACATAGGGGGCAGGGCTTGGAGACTCACCCCCATCCTACCCACACATAGGGGGCAGGGCTTGGAGACTCACCCCCATCCTACCCACACATAGGGGGCAGGGCTTGGAGACTCACCCCCATCCTACCCACACATAGGGGGCAGGGCTTGGAGACTCACCCCCATCCTACCCACACATAGGGGGCAGGGCTTGGAGACTCACCCCCATCCTACCCACACATAGGGGGCAGGGCTTGGAGACTCACCCCCATCCTACCCACACATAGGGGGCAGGGCTTGGAGACTCACCCCCATCCTACCCACACATAGGGGGCAGGGCTTGGAGACTCACCCCCATCCTACCCACACATAGGGGGCAGGGCTTGGAGACTCACCCCCATCCTACCCACACATAGGGGGCAGGGCTTGGAGACTCACCCCCATCCTACCCACACATAGGGGGCAGGGCTTGGAGACTCACCCCCATCCTACCCACACATAGGGGGCAGGGCTTGGAGACTCACCCCCATCCTACCCACACATAGGGGGCAGGGCTTGGAGACTCACCCCCATCCTACCCACACATAGGGGGCAGGGCTTGGAGACTCACCCCCATCCTACCCACACATAGGGGGCAGGGCTTGGAGACTCACCCCCATCCTACCCACACATAGGGGGCAGGGCTTGGAGACTCACCCCCATCCTACCCACACATAGGGGGCAGGGCTTGGAGACTCACCCCCATCCTACCCACACATAGGGGGCAGGGCTTGGAGACTCACCCCCATCCTACCCACACATAGGGGGCAGGGCTTGGAGACTCACCCCCATCCTACCCACACATAGGGGGCAGGGCTTGGAGACTCACCCCCATCCTACCCACACATAGGGGGCAGGGCTTGGAGACTCACCCCCATCCTACCCACACATAGGGGGCAGGGCTTGGAGACTCACCCCCATCCTACCCACACATAGGGGGCAGGGCTTGGAGACTCACCCCCATCCTACCCACACATAGGGGGCAGGGCTTGGAGACTCACCCCCATCCTACCCACACATAGGGGGCAGGGCTTGGAGACTCACCCCCATCCTACCCACACATAGGGGGCAGGGCTTGGAGACTCACCCCCATCCTACCCACACATAGGGGGCAGGGCTTGGAGACTCACCCCCATCCTACCCACACATAGGGGGCAGGGCTTGGAGACTCACCCCCATCCTACCCACACATAGGGGGCAGGGCTTGGAGACTCACCCCCATCCTACCCACACATAGGGGGCAGGGCTTGGAGACTCACCCCCATCCTACCCACACATAGGGGGCAGGGCTTGGAGACTCACCCCCATCCTACCCACACATAGGGGGCAGGGCTTGGAGACTCACCCCCATCCTACCCACACATAGGGGGCAGGGCTTGGAGACTCACCCCCATCCTACCCACACATAGGGGGCAGGGCTTGGAGACTCACCCCCATCCTACCCACACATAGGGGGCAGGGCTTGGAGACTCACCCCCATCCTACCCACACATAGGGGGCAGGGCTTGGAGACTCACCCCCATCCTACCCACACATAGGGGGCAGGGCTTGGAGACTCACCCCCATCCTACCCACACATAGGGGGCAGGGCTTGGAGACTCACCCCCATCCTACCCACACATAGGGGGCAGGGCTTGGAGACTCACCCCCATCCTACCCACACATAGGGGGCAGGGCTTGGAGACTCACCCCCATCCTACCCACACATAGGGGGCAGGGCTTGGAGACTCACCCCCATCCTACCCACACATAGGGGGCAGGGCTTGGAGACTCACCCCCATCCTACCCACACATAGGGGGCAGGGCTTGGAGACTCACCCCCATCCTACCCACACATAGGGGGCAGGGCTTGGAGACTCACCCCCATCCTACCCACACATAGGGGGCAGGGCTTGGAGACTCACCCCCATCCTACCCACACATAGGGGGCAGGGCTTGGAGACTCACCCCCATCCTACCCACACATAGGGGGCAGGGCTTGGAGACTCACCCCCATCCTACCCACACATAGGGGGCAGGGCTTGGAGACTCACCCCCATCCTACCCACACATAGGGGGCAGGGCTTGGAGACTCACCCCCATCCTACCCACACATAGGGGGCAGGGCTTGGAGACTCACCCCCATCCTACCCACACATAGGGGGCAGGGCTTGGAGACTCACCCCCATCCTACCCACACATAGGGGGCAGGGCTTGGAGACTCACCCCCATCCTACCCACACATAGGGGGCAGGGCTTGGAGACTCACCCCCATCCTACCCACACATAGGGGGCAGGGCTTGGAGACTCACCCCCATCCTACCCACACATAGGGGGCAGGGCTTGGAGACTCACCCCCATCCTACCCACACATAGGGGGCAGGGCTTGGAGACTCACCCCCATCCTACCCACACATAGGGGGCAGGGCTTGGAGACTCACCCCCATCCTACCCACACATAGGGGGCAGGGCTTGGAGACTCACCCCCATCCTACCCACACATAGGGGGCAGGGCTTGGAGACTCACCCCCATCCTACCCACACATAGGGGGCAGGGCTTGGAGACTCACCCCCATCCTACCCACACATAGGGGGCAGGGCTTGGAGACTCACCCCCATCCTACCCACACATAGGGGGCAGGGCTTGGAGACTCACCCCCATCCTACCCACACATAGGGGGCAGGGCTTGGAGACTCACCCCCATCCTACCCACACATAGGGGGCAGGGCTTGGAGACTCACCCCCATCCTACCCACACATAGGGGGCAGGGCTTGGAGACTCACCCCCATCCTACCCACACATAGGGGGCAGGGCTTGGAGACTCACCCCCATCCTACCCACACATAGGGGGCAGGGCTTGGAGACTCACCCCCATCCTACCCACACATAGGGGGCAGGGCTTGGAGACTCACCCCCATCCTACCCACACATAGGGGGCAGGGCTTGGAGACTCACCCCCATCCTACCCACACATAGGGGGCAGGGCTTGGAGACTCACCCCCATCCTACCCACACATAGGGGGCAGGGCTTGGAGACTCACCCCCATCCTACCCACACATAGGGGGCAGGGCTTGGAGACTCACCCCCATCCTACCCACACATAGGGGGCAGGGCTTGGAGACTCACCCCCATCCTACCCACACATAGGGGGCAGGGCTTGGAGACTCACCCCCATCCTACCCACACATAGGGGGCAGGGCTTGGAGACTCACCCCCATCCTACCCACACATAGGGGGCAGGGCTTGCAGTTTCTATGGGGATGCTCTCCCCTCTCCCTCCCCCACACAAGGGGTAGGACTTGGGGTGTCTAGGGGGGATCTCAGTCCCTCACACCTAGGGGCACTGCCCCCCTCCCCTTACAGACAGGGGGCACCTTACCTCTCTCCCTGGGGTCTTGGCCAACCCCCTCGGAGCCGTTCCACCTGGTCCCATTCGGGGTGGGGGTGTTTTTCTTCGGAGCCGGCAGGGCTGGGGGGTCCTAGTCAGGATGGAAGGCAGGGAGAAGAAAAATTAGCCCCCCGTGGCCCTGTGCCACACCCCTTCCTGGGCCGGGGGGGAGCCGGCACCCCCTGGAGGGGACAGA